ATCTGTAGGGGTGGCCCTTCCTTGGACCTGTAGGTTCCTAGGCTGGCACAAACCACTCGCGTGGGCTCTCTCCTTTTGGGACTGAGCTCGAGGCTCCGCCAACCGGGCGCTTTTTATGAGCACTTCTGCCTTTTTGTTTTAGACATTCAAGTTCATTAAGGAAACCAAGCACTTCCACCCTAAACCTCCCATTTCACCAAGGAACAGGATTTCTTACCGTTAGCTACGCATGGTATGATTATGTGAGGACTCATCTGGCTGCTCTTGCCAAGAGGACGAGGAGGCTCGTGCCTCCCTGAGGACGGCCCCCGCGCGCCCTCCTAGCAGGGCTGATGAACCTGCCGAAACACCAGCACGGCCCAAACCTGCAAGGGAACCAGTCATCCCCTGCTGCCATCCTTCAACCCTGCAGTTTAATGCACACGAGCTACACAGAGCTGCATCCATCAGCTCTCGGGCACTATCACCTGGGCATTTATTTTAAACTTCAGCCTAAGTGCATGGGAGTAAATTTCCATCCCGAGTCCACATGGAGTTTGGCTGTCTGCCCTTACAGACCAGGCTAAATAGGATTAAAAATCAATTGCAACATGCAGGAGGGCAGCTCAGCCTCCCTAAAAGTCAGCATGTTGCCTCTCTGTGATCTGTGTGAGCTTCCATTTACGCTTCCTTTGACTGCTCTGGATACCAAACCACCTTAAAGAGAAAACCATTAGCTAACCTGAGACACCGTTATACTCAGCAAAAACAGTGTTTACTTTACTTTTATATGATTTGATGCAAGAACAAATCCCTCCAGTGGCCTCTCTTACTCCTTCGGGCACGGATACGGATCGATCAGCCTATTAAACACAATAAAACCATCCGCGCAAGACGACCCAAGAGTTATGACACACCGCAAAGAAACATCTGCGCCCGAAATGGAGACAGAGCAGGGGGTTACGAGCCGTGATGGCAGGTTTTGCAAAGCTGAATAATTATGCTCAGGAGCCATCAGTTCAGAAACGGTCGCTGGTTCCACACAATTGCGGCGAACACGCTCCGCCGATGAAGCAAAGACACACTCGGTTTACGCAGGTCTGTCCTCACTTGCAGTCCAACTCAAAAGGTTCTCAACAAAGTTAGGCTAGAAAGGACAGGCAAGAAGACCAACCCTTCCACGTACAGGCACTTTAAAATTAAAAACAGATTTAAACCTACACTTACACCTACGTTTCACCAGCCTTCGAAATCCAGGAGAAGGAGCCCAAATTTAAAGCAGAAAAGCAGGCTTTCCACAACGGGTTTGACCTTCTGCAGGCCAGGTGACAGGCAACCGCCCCCCCAGTCTTTTCAAGGCCTTAGCACAAGGCAGGATAGCAAGTGCAAGTGTCACTGAAGCCAGCAAGGGTGGCCAGCCCCATGGACCTCCTGTTTGCTCGAGGGTCACCTGGAAAGCCATGGACCACAGAGGGACAACTCGTCACTTCTCGCACCAGAGAAGGGCCCTGGGGCTACGCAAACTATTACTGAGCTCATCTCTCTTTTCCGTTTCATTCTGCTAGTCATAACTCAGCTTGGGGCTACTGAAAAGCACATTAGAGCTATAAAATCAGTGCCCTGCTATCAGATACCTCAGGAAACCTCCAGGAGAAAAAAACAATGGGAATCAACCTTGGCCAATTCATTAAGGAGGAGTCTTTTGAAAGAACCGAGTTATGCAGCTGGTCTGACTAACGCCCGTAAACTTGCAGAAAGAACAAAGTGACACGGAAATGATTTATAGAGGCAACCGGAATGCCAAATCTGTCATATTAATGTATGTTAAACGCTCCTTGTGAACTCTCTTGAACTGGACACCGTTTGTGCATGAAGGCACAATTTATCAAACGCGTTTTGGGGCAGGTCAGCAAGATAGGTATTTAAATGAGAAGGAGAGGATTAAGAAATACAATGGTGATTTAAATACAGAGATGCTTGGGAAAGGGGGAGCCACCCAAACAGAGAAAGCAAAGGAGAAGAAATCAGCCAAGCCCGGTTTGATTCAAGACCTCCTTGTTACTAAAATTGCACTGATCTTCCCTGAAGCAGGGAGGAAGTTCAAGAGAAGGGGAGAGAGAGAAACAGGAGCTCGTGGCAAGAAAACTAAAGGACAGGGAGCTCAAACCCCTGAAGCAATTCCAGGGAACCTCCTCAGGAAGGAGACTGAAGCACCTCCAACCTCTACAAACCAGTTCCAGCTCTGAAGCAACTACGGGATCCTCTCACTACAAGGTCTTAGCAATGCCTAGAACTGCTCTTCTCTGTGTTGTGCTCTTCTCAGCTCTTTCCAGTCTTTTACTCAAGAATTTAACCCAATTTGCTAGAGCAGGGACAGTATTAAAGGCTGCCTTGTGCCTTGAATTGCCTATTGATTAAAAATGAACTACGTGATTATCAGGTACAGAGTTTTCAAATGGAGGCAATTGAAACAAACTGCATTTGGAGAAACCTTTTGGGGCATGTGGAAATCAAGACAAATTTAAGCTTCTCAGATATTAGCAAATATGTACGCACACAGATGGATTATGAGGATAACAGAGAAAAAAAATACTGTTACTGCTTTCCAAATGGACCAAAAAGGGAGAAGAGAGATCACAGAATGGTTGAGGTTGGAAGGGACCTCTAGAGATCACCTAGTCCAATCCCTTTTTCCTAGGGGACAGGCTTTGGAGCTTCCATTTCTGCAAACTACAGCTCTCCCCAAGAGCAGCAGACAAACTAATCCCTGGCTGTCTCCATACGCGGCCTCTGACACGGACATGCTGCCAAGCCAATTCCGTGCTGCTCTGCCCGGACCTGCAAAGGGACCTTCCATCAACAGCGGCACTGCTCAGGTTGTGCCGGGTGCTCCCTGCGGCCGGGCTCGCGTTTTACCCCTTCCGTCACCCGGCAGAAATGGAAATCTCCAAGGCAAAGAGCTGAGGCTGGGAGGACAGCAACAGAGAAGAGCAGATCGTTTCTTAGTTACCCTGAAAATTAAAATGAAGCATCACAAGTTAGAAGAAAACTGCTCCCTGAAGCGTGAAGATTCACCTGCTGTCTTGAATAAGAGCTGCATTTTTCAGCAGCAGCGGCATTGCCAAGAATTAGCCATGTGGAATTGAAATGGCCAAGTGGAAAATCCTGCCTCTAGCTCAACCCCAAGTCAAAGACTTCAGAGGTAATTTTGCTTAAGCTCCTGCTATTGGAGATACCTGCACGAGCGTTCTGAGAAGCTTTAACGTGGCTGTTGCTTGCAGGAATTTCAGGAACTACTGAAACCCACACGATGTTTGTCTTTTGCTTCGCAATGCACAAAACTCTACTTCACTCTGGTCAAGTTATAAACCAGATAAAAAAAAAAACTGCTTGATCCCTCCAATCTGGTTCTGCAAATTTTTGTTTATCTGGAGCGTGGCAGAGGGCCACGGGCTCCTCTCAGAAAGGCACCAGCTGGGCTCCAAACACCTGGCCTAACCTACCCCTGACCACATATCCCGAAGGGTGCTCCCCTTCCCGCCTCCTGGAGATGCAGGGCCAGGACCAGGCATTGGGGCGGCCTTTTCCATGCTGTGCAGCTGCTACGTGACGAGGACAGCCAGCGCTGTGCCCGCTAATGCCCTTCCCGCTAGAACGCCCGGTCCTCGGAGCCCTGTGCACAGCTACACCCACATGCAACCGCAATTCGGGACTCTATCTGCTTATAAAAATAGTAACATTCATGCTAAAACTCCAACTACATATTCAGAAGACCAGGACGTCCAGAAGGTCCCCCAGCCCATTTTCCCACCCCACGGTGCCACCCAACTCCCCCAGGCCAGACAGGCCTCCTTTGGCTCCCAGTCGAGCCAGCTCTGAGCAGGGGGTTGCAGCAGGTGATACCCCGGGGACTTGTCCATCCTGAATCCACCTGCAACTTCTCAAATGCTGATGCTTAAACAGACAAGGCAGCTACTAGAGCTTTACATTAACACACACGCTCGTTTGTAGCCTCCTTTAAAAGGCTGAAAGGGAACAAAGGATAGAATACAGCAGGATTTGATGCATCTAGAGAGATATTTGCTCCCCTCTGTAGAGCACAAGCTACAAGGCTACAGTCAGGTGGGCACGACTCTCTCCTCTGGGCCTTTAAACTCAGCCTTTGGAACAGATACAAGGAAGGGGAGAAAAGCATACGGATAGTGAATTTGGGAAAGATCATCTGGGTTTTATAGAGTTCTTAACTCTGTGTCATATATTTGCACTTAGAAAAATTCCATTCCCCTCCCCTATATAATTTTTTTAAATAAACTCATATGCATCCAGATTTTTAATTCATATTACCTGCATCACCATCTTTGCTCCCATTTACTGGCCCTAGGTACTTATTTAGAGGGGAGGGAAGTATTACTAATACTTTTGGTTTTAACAACAGTCTTCATAAAGAAAAAAGGACTAGCTAGAGCCTGCCTGGCATATCATGAATTATCTCAAGCCTGACAGCAGCTACGGATAATACCGACCTGGGAATGGATGCAGGGAGCATAAGAACAGGGAATCGTATGTGCTGCATTTTAGGTACGTTTGGCTAACAACTATTGGCCAGAAGTTCAGCAGTGAACATCCCAAACAAGAAAAGTTCCTTTTCTGTAATTATGGGGACTTTTGAGATGCAATCCACAAGTCTTACTTGAGCCCCAATGATATATCCGTATCCCGGTGCCTCTCTGGGCACTACCTTTATTAAGTCAAGGCGTGCAAATGAAAACCTGCATGCTTTGCTGAACTTGGAAAAAGGCAGTGTGTCTGCAAACATGCTGCAGACTTCTTACAGCTTACAGGTAACTACACACTCCCACGCTGAAAAGATCTGCTCCAGCAGGATCTGTGGGGCACCATCATATCACTTTTTTCCATATTATGGTGTTTACAGTTCTGACACTTCGTTGTCCCGTAACAAATTCCAACCCTAGATGATCTCTAGGAAGCATTTTTCAGGTTTCCCCTTATTCCTAACTTACCTTCTCTCCGCTGGAGTAGAAGAAGTAACGCAATCGGACAATGTTACAATGATCCAACTTCCTCATGATCTGGAGCTCTCGGTTCTGCAACGAAAGAAAAGCAGCAAACAGTTAGGAAACCTGTTTTCTCAGGAAGAGGGCTCTAATGGACACTTTAACACAGAGCCCCAACATTCGGCAAAAACAGCGATCCAAAAAGCAACTGGCAACTGAAGAGAAAGGGGCAACAGCTTTCTTGCTGCATGAACCACTTGTGTATTAGCCTCTCTTCCAATTACCATTAAGAAATTATCTACACCTTTGAGTGCCTTTCTCTCTAAAATAAAGGTCCACAAACCCATTGCAAAAACCCAAGCATCACATAACTGTATCACTGAGTTTCAGAAACAAGAGCAAGAGAACATCGGCCTTCCAGTTTTATTTTCTGATCTTTCAATAATATAGGACATCAGCCAAACCAGCTAGAATTCTTTCTACCTGAAAAAAACAGCTTCAGAATTGGAATTAACTTCAATAATGTACAAGTAAACCTGCAGAGAGCTTAACTTTATTCCTGCTCAACCAAAGCTTGGCCACACTGAGGCAGACAGAGCAACAGGGCTGCTTTCCTGTTTTGCATCAATCTGAAATAATAATAAAAAAAAGCTGTTGAAACCAAGTTGTTGTTGGTGTGGCAGTCGTACTATTAACACTTGAGGACCTCTGCAAGAGCTGCCTGGAGCTTCTTCCTAAGGCGGACACCAGGCTTCCTAAGGCTTTCGATTCCTCTACGCCCTGGAGCCTTAAACAAGAGGCACTAGTTAGGATGCTCCAGCATTAATCCTATCATCCCTGCCACCATCGGACCAAAAGGGAAGAGCCCTGCAGCATTCTGCAGCTCTTTGCAAACCCGAGCGCCGTCCCAGGAGCACAGTTACCAGCTGGCAGCTATCCCGGCGGCAGCTCCGGAGAGGAAAATCCCTTCCCTGAGCCGGCCTGGTCACCTCGCTCGGCAGAGCCCTGGGCTGCTGGGTGCACATGGACAGGAGCCCCTTCTGTCCCTGTGGCCACCTCCCTTTCTTTAAGGTGTATTTGGAGGGGGAGGCAAAACACCTAATGCTATCGCTTCATGTCCCAAAGTCACCCTGGAAGAGCCAGTACCTAAACCCAGACCTAGCAGTAAATCCACTGAACCTCAAAGGGCAAGTTCTTCCTCCCTTTGTACTGCCGGCTGTAAAATGGGAATAATACTTTTTATCTCCGGGAATTACTGAAGGAAATGGGAACGCGCCAAGCACAAACATGTAAATATTATTTTAGCAATATCTCTACTAGCTCTTTAAAACACACATGTATGCTGTAACTCAAGTTATCGCCTCATGTTCTTAAGATAGTACCTATACCCTGATTGGATATGCTGGAAAAAAAAGTCAGCAGAAGTTATTCTAACGCCGGGCTGAAGTTATATTTATACCCTGGTATCTCCTTCTAGCATAAGCACAATCTGTGCCCACTCCGATGCCTTCCACCCCGGATCCACCTCCCTAGGCTCTCACCCTGACCATCTGCTGCGGCCTCGGAAACGCTGCTTCAATGGGAGGCAGGATCAGGGGCAGCTCCCCAGCTACTCACACTGAATCCTCTATGTTCCATCCTGGAACGATGCAGAATGCAACACATTAAGGTTATCCCCCTTCCCAAGTTCAAACCCGGTGGATATTTTCATCGCTGCCTCCTGGGGGAAGTTCCTCTTGGAAATACCCGAACCGGAGCGGAATGCTGTGGCAGGAAGAACAGCTCCTGAAGTTAAAAATAAGACCTTGATGCTTTTCACAGCCCACTTCTCTCCAATTGATTCTTCCAACTATGCTCACTACTACATCCTTTCCTGAGAAGAGCTGAAACCGATAACAGCCATTTCATGTTATAACGTGGGCTATTACCAGTGTGCAAATGCTTTGGGGAAAAAAAGAAACCGGCACATTCACAAAAAAACGCCATTATAAACAGGGAGCCCAACAAAAGAGAACTGTGACAGCTGTCCTACACTGAGTACCAGAGATAAAACGCATGTCTAAATATAATGCAAACTAAAACCATTTCAAAACATGCTGATGAGAAAGGCTGACAGTGCACGATCAAAATACAGGGTGGCTGAACATGCAAAGCTTTTGCTTATCCTTAACTCATCACTTCTGCCTTCCAAGAGCGGAGCGACAGGGGTGAAAAGTCCGATTCAAAGGGGAAGTTACTCTCCTCCCTCTTCCCCCATCCTCTCGCAGGAAGAGAGAAGTTCAGTTTTCACAGAAAAGGAGAATTTGGGGCCCATAAGCCCTGTGGAGAGCACGACCCGTCACCTCCGCTCTTGCCATAGGAGCCAATGCAGCACTTGGGTTTATGCGGACACAGAGCGCTCCTAATGTCCATGTTCTCCAGGGATGAGCAGAGCCAAGAGGACTACAAACAGCCCCTTTTGGGCACAGTTTTTAATTCTTCATCCAAATCCAGAAGATGAGGGGTTGCTCACAACTCTGGCAGACTACAGCTCATTAATTTAAGCCCTTTCTTAACTAGGGAAGCAAATCCAACGTGCTCAAAACTAGTCTGTGGCTTTGCCAGGCCAGATTGCCTGTTTGTTACACCACAGAAACTTGCCTGCCCGTTTGGGAGCTGTCATTACAGAGTGCTGGGACACAACCTGCTCTGTGACTTCAAAAGGCAGCCGGAGGCTCGTGCCTTCTCCCCAAGGGGACCCCAACTCCTCTGGCCGAGATGCCACCGGCCCGGGCAGGCAGTGTCTGCCTTCACGTTGGAACCTGCCCCTGCGGCGTGTGAGCGGCAGATGTGTACAGAGAAATTGTCATCCCCTCCTGCACAGGGCATGTTCACAGATCCTGCCCCTCCTCTGCCTCTATCACTGTGTTCTTCATTCTCCCACAAAACGAGTGCTCTGATCACTTTGGACTTCCATCAGGAAACCAAGTAACCTAAAGAAGTCTTGTAAGAAGTGTTCAAAAAAAGTGTAGACAGGGCACTTTGGGCCATGGTGTTGAGAGTTTACAGTTGCACTTGATGATCTTGAAGGCCTTTTTCAAACATAATGATTCTATGATATTGTCTTCTTCAATGTCTTTCTCAGAGGAATCACAGAATCCTTAAGGTTGGAAGGGACTCCTAGAGCTCATCCAGTCCAAGCCCCTGCTCCAGCAGGGACACCCAGAGCACGGGGCACAGGGCGGCATCCAGGCGGGTTTTGAGGATCTCCAGAGGAGACTCCACAGCCTCCCTGGGCAGCCTGTGCCAGGGCTCTGGCACCCTCACTATCAAGAATTTATTCCTTAAGTTCCTGGGGAACTTTTGGTGCTTCAGTTTGTGGCCGTTTCCTCTAGTTCTGTCGCTGGCCACCACTGAAAAGAGGCCGCCCCCTCCTCCTCACTGCCTCCCTTGAGGTATTTATACACGCTGATCAGGTCCCCCCTCAGCCTCCTCTTCTCCAGGCTGAACAGACCCAGCTCCCTCAGCCTTTGCTCACAGGGCAGATGTTCCAGGCCCCTGATCATCCTCGTAGCCCTGCGCTGGACTCTCTCCAGCAGCTCTACAAAGAGAGGTTTCCCTGCAATCTCCAGAAGTTTCTCCTCTCTGCCTGCTTCCCAGTGCCAGGGGAAGGCTGGATTCCAAGCACAGGATGGCAGCTCCAGACCCGCAGTGGGTGGTCACGCTCCGCATCCACTGCCCCAGTACAGAAATAGCCCTGGATAGGTTACCAAGACCTACGTGGATCCTCAAGAGCAGCTTATTTGCCACTAATATCATTAGTAAAGCTCCAATCCTAATGTCTGCTTTGTCATAAGCTTAGCAGAATGGGCTGTGTAAAAAGAAAAGCTGCACTCTACCTCGGCTAAAAAGCCCTGGAGCAGCCCAAACTGCACCTCCAGCTACACGCTGCCCTGTTCTCCAGCACCAAAAGAGCTACAGCAACTACTGTCCACCTCGCCAACTCAGATCCGTGGCCACTCAGACACGTGACAGAGGAAAGCCCCATTCCTACGTGTTGTCCATGTTTGCCCCAAGCTGTACAAGAGTGTTTGGGGGGAAAAGAGAAAGGCAGAAGCAGGTCTCAGCTGCAGAGGCCGGATCCGGGCACGGGCCCGGCCCAGCCGCGGGCAGCCGGCCGGCCACCCATGGGAAGGCCGATTTGCAGGCAGCCACAAACGTCGCCACGCAGCACAGGTCTCCTCCCCTCCATGTGTGAGGCTTGGAGCAAGGCAAAGCAACCAAGCTCCCTCTTCCCCTCGACTCATGGCCTGTTTCCAACACCAGCCGATCCAAACTGGAACAGTCTCCATATGCAGGAGAGACTCGTCAACCTCAGCAAGTGAGAAGGTCTCAAGAAAGGAAAACAAAACAAACACTTTAGGGAGCACAAACCAGTCAGTCCCGAGCTCATACAATTCACTTTCAACCCACGAATACCAACAGGAGAACATTTCACTACTAGGACACACTATGGCTACAGTGCCACAGGAGCAGCCATCCAGCATCCCGGATATGCCCCTCCACCTACATCCATCCATGACCATTAAGGACCGGCAGCCTGGCAGGACTAAAGCACGGTGCAGAGTCCAGAAACTTGCGTCCTGCTGCAGCTCGTGCAACCCAAAACCTGCACACGCCTGATCTTCATCTCTTCCAGGAATCCCCAGGTTTCCTAAAAAGGGCAAAGCCAAACGTGAAGCACCGGCACGAACTACAGTGGTGAATTCGGGAGCGCCACACAGGCACGGGCAGCAGGGAGAGGCCGCGCAGGGAGCCAGCAGAAAGCACGGACGGTGCCGGATGCGTCTCCGCGACGCTCGCGGATGCGCAGGACCACGGCCCCTTCCACACTGCTAGCCGACTAGAAGCAGAGCAGCAAAGGCACCTCCCTACCCAGAGCAGCAACAAGGCCACGAAGATCTGCTCGTTAATACCTCGGAGCACCAGGCGATCGAGGGGGCTGCAGAGGAGAAGGATCTGTGAGGGCTGGCCTCAAACCCGTTCCCGCCACGCGCCCCGAAGGGCCAGACACAGCCTGATGTTGTGGTGCTGTGGCCCAGGGCGCTCTC